AAATGATTGTCTTTATATACTCTTTGCAGAGTTGTAAAGTAACTAAGTACAAATACTTGTTACTGTACTTAAGTAGAAACTTTGGTTATCTGTACTTTACTTGAGTAATTATTTTTCAGCATACTTTTTACTTTTACTCATTACATTTTTACACAATTAGCTGTACTTTCTACTCACTACATTTAAAAAAAAAAAAGGTAAGAAGTAGAAAGTCGTTACTCCTATTTCATTCCGAGTTGTTATTACTTAGAAAAAATACTATCCTGATAAATTATCTCCTGGATAGAGTAAATTTAATTGTGGCTGGATTAGAAGTATAAATATCTACCATTCTGACACCCTATTAGCTTGTACACAACCCATCACAGCTGCACGCTGTAAGAAAAAATATTTTTGGAGAAGTCACCTCTCAATAGATGTCATTTTGGAAAATCTAACTGCTCACTTTTACTCAGTACTTTTACTTTTAACACTTCAGTAGATTTTGTGTCAAAAATTTACTTTTGATACTTAAGTACAAAAAAATATCAGATACTTTAAGACTTTTACTTAAGTAATGTTTTTAGAGAAGACTTTAACTTTTACCAAAGTATTCTTATGATAAGATACTTGTACTTTTACTCAAGTATCACTTTGAGGTACTTTATACAACACTGTGTCTTTGTTGTTATGCCTATATTTGATTTATGCATGCTTTTTGTCTTAAGCTTGTGCTCTAATAACTAATTCATCATCAAAATCTGACACAGGAGATTGTTCAGATGCTTTATTTTGATGAGGGTAGTATTAGGTTTAGGTTTCCCTTATATCTAATTTTTGCATCACTATTCTATATTGCATCATCAGTTGATCACTATTTGGGGATGTGAGATAACCTGCTTTGTTCTGTTCTACAGTTTCTGCTTCGCATGCGAGGATTCTTTTACATGCATAGCAGACAAAATCAATACCTCAACAATATTGGGGCTCTACTAGCTAGATCACATATTTCTTCTAAAACAAGCACTTCAGTCCGTTTGACATGGACATGAGCTTTATTTAAGCATGGTGTCATTACTGCCTCATATTGTGGAACAATGCATCATCAGATTCTATAATACAGATAGAGATCTTACAGAAAAAAATGGGTTGATTTTAGCCAATATTGCTATTAMTACACAAATAGCGTTTTCCACTCAATGTTTTATATCTGTTCCCACAAAGCAGAAATCTCTACTTTGAGCAATAAAGTTCAATCAGATCAGTAATCACAAAACTACTGCTTGTATCTTAATATGTGAGCTTTGTTGGTCTTTTGAAACTGCAGTGTTTTGAAATTCTAATCTGACCCGCAATTATTTACCCCGTTTCTGTTTATGTGGTCAGAGTGTTTTTGTTTTGTTTTGTTTGCTTGTTGTTGCTTTGATTTTGTGGTTGAATGCAGTTCTGCTTTCCCTGACAGTACATTCTGTTGTGTTCAAGCGTTTCATGCTTGAGCAGTTTTGAAAACAGTGCCTAATTATGGTGAATGCAAAAAAGCTTTATCTCTGTCCTGATGTCCTGCTGTAAGTGTCTGAAGTGATCAGTGCACATTACAAAAAGACACAAACGGAGCCCAACAAGTCCACAGCGGACCACATATGCCTGTACCACTGCTCTGTTTGCTAAAAAATTAAAACCTGATGGAATAGCAGGCTACCCAACTCCCACCACCTGGTCTGTAGTCACCAGTTTAGATGGATCCTTGGACCCAGCTTGGATTGTGCTGTCCAACCGTTCTGGTACAAATGCCTCCAAATAAAGGGAATAAGCTGTGTGGCAACCCAATAAATGAGTATTGATCCCTCTGTGTACCTGAGACCATTACAGCTACGTGCCTTGGAGTTAAACTTGAGATATAATATAAGGCTTGCAGCTGATACCATAATACCATCACTGCAAAATCATCTGATTACTGAAAAGTAGCCCACACAATGTGCATGTATGTCATCTCAAATTACATGGCTTTCCAATTAAAACACTGCTTGATTGAAAAGGTAAACAAAAGGTAAAACCCTTGAGCAGTGAGGTTTTTGTTTTGTTTTTATTTTTTTTATAAAGGATGATGAAAACATCTGCAGCTGAGTCAGAGGCAGCTCTATGACAGAATTTATCAATTTGTAATTTTGTTTTCTGTCATAGAGTAGAATAGATTGACAGTATATATATGCAGCAAAACAACCATATTTTCTCCTTCTGTGCCATTGTAATTGTTTTATTTTTCTATTTCTTTATCATCGCTGTATGCTGTTTTCTATATCATCTGTTGTATTCCTTATTTTTCAGAGTACACACTCAAGAAAAGGAAACAAAGAGAAACAGACTTTGTTTATTATAGGATACAGTTTTTCCACCCCTGCTCTGTAAACCTCCAATGCTTGGATTCACCCCAGAAAGAACAGTACATGACTCACTGTTCTTTTGCAAGTCAGTTTCTTCGTTTAATTGAAAGTCACAACTTRTTTGGTTCAAAACGCTTTTCAACGCTTAGTTTTTTTTTTCAACCTGTTTAGATTGAAAACTAAAAACAAATTTCAGTACTTTTRAAACTCTTATCTTCACACGGACACATTTTGCCCTTGTAAACCAATTAGGAGTTGTTCAGCTTTCATTAGCAACACGTTGCTGTATCATAGGTTCTGTGAAATTTGCTTTGTAGAAGCTGACTTTGTTCTCATAAGAGGATTTTTTTAGTTTGCCATTTATCAGAAATGCTGCATTTTCTAACAGTCAATCTTGTTTATTGCGTGTGTGATTTGTCGTTTTTTTATTTGCTAATTTGGTTTGTTAAAGTGCTGCAATTGTGCACACAGTTGAGTCCTAATGTGTGATTATGCACATGAGCATGTAATATATTCCTTTGCAGATGTGCTCAACTCAGTGTTTTCCTGTAACTGAGCAATTCCTCACGTAACACGACTGCTACATGTGTGAAATAGGAGAAAATATTTTCCGTATATGTGCGTGAAAGAGGTGGTGTGTGTTTGCAGGCTGGACAGCAGGGGKCCCTTTTAATAATATTTGTAGCAGTGTGTGCTCAGTGTCACACACGTCTGTGAGACACCGCTGGCTACTGGGGTTATTTAACAACACTGTGGGAGGTCTGRGATTCGAGACACAGGTGCAGCACTTTGCTTCAAATTCCTCTCCCTGAAGATGAAATATTGTATGAGAGCAATTGTCRTTTTTTCCAGTATGCAACTGCTATGGGCTGTCGTATTTTTGTAAATGGTGCCGACATCAGTTTGGAGGGGTTTAGTGCTTTTACTTGTTGCTTTGTTATTTTACCCAAACTGGCTTAGATGAGCCACTTGCCTCAGTATAATTATCATGTTTTCAAATTAGCTGCTTTAGTGAAAAATTCTCAAAGGTTAGATTCTTCTTTGGAAAAAAAAGCTGAGTAGAATTACGGCAAAGTGCACGGTTATACACTGTAGAAAAACGTTAAATAGCTGCTACTGATTTTAAAATGAAAAACACTAGTGTGTTTACATCTGATTTTATAGTGAAAAATCACATACATATAATTTCAAAAAGTATATTTGCTATATATATATATATATATATATATAGTCTGTCTAGAGAAAATGTGGAGAATGTTTTCCAAAAAAATATAAAAAGAAAAAAGAAAAGAAAACATTGTTTATTTTGCTTTGGTCATTTAATAGAAAAATGCTTTTTGAAATATAAGCTAGTGATTTACTTTACTTTAAATGCACTTTTAGTTATTGCTCATGGAGACATTCTGTTATCAATTTCATTATTCAAATGAATACATTATAATTCTTCAGAGAAACACAATATCAGTTTTGTGAGTGTGGTTGCATTATTCTTTTTTTAAGCCACTTGAGTAGAAAACAGAACTGAATGTTAGTTTACTTTCTTCCTCATCAGTGATTTTTTAATAGAAGAGAAGAAGAAAAAGAAAGAGARGCTTGAAAGAGAGATTAGATGTGTTAAATATAAACCAAGAAACACACTTGACATCTGTCTGCACACCTGTAAAAATGGAGAAAACAAAAACACAGCAACAAATAACGTGTATATCATAATAATTATAGCTTTGCTGAAATATATACATACACACATACCCATACATACATATATGGATATACGCACACAAATGCATACATTCATACATATACATAAACATACATACATATACATATCCAAATCTATAAATACACCCTCAATGGTCGTCGGAAACCCCAGATTCTGAACACCAGTTTGTGTGTGGTTGTGAACATGCATGTATATAGAAGATTTTTCCAAAGGAATATTTAATAGTGACAGTGGAGACCCAAAGACCCGACCCCCAAGACCCGAAGCAGACATAAAGGTGATCAGACCCCGAGAGTGGCCCCAAGCACGGAGCCCGCAGGAGTACCACTGCAGAAAGAGCCACACACCCGGACCACAGGAGAGATCCAGGA